GATAGATAGATAGATAGATAGATAGATAGATAGATAGATAGATAGATAGATAGATAGATCACATTCCACAGACTGATAACTTTACTCTGTGTAACATTAGTGTCAAGAAGCTGTCCATTTGTTTAAAATAATGAGCCACAGACTCTTAAAATGAAATGCAGTAGCTGCAAACTATTTTTCAACAAAGTGACAGCAATGGAGTTCAAGTATAGTGAGTTGTTAAATTTTGAGCAATCCATTTAAAAAAAAATAATTGTATGACAATCTTATCTATTTATATTAATGCTAAAATAAATGTATTTAAATGAAATTATAACCTATACATGTACATCAAACACCTGGTTGTCTGTTCCCTAATGATGTCATGCATAATGTATTTAGATTGTTTCCTTAAAACCGCTTTGCACTGCACTGTGGTTTATTTGGTTTTTATTATTATTTGTTCCCTCCAATCAAAACTGACAGTTGGTGTGCTTTAATACTGCCTGTCGAGGGATTTGTTCTCTAGGTACAGAAGGAAGATGATCTGACACTGGACATGATGCATTTATTGCTCAGTAATCCTATCAGGAAGCAGAGCTTTGCTTGTGTAAAGTCATTGGCAGTGAACACAGCTGCAGCCTTACTGTGCCGTCTGAGTCTGTTAACATGGCTGCTGCTCAGACTAAAGCTGAATTTGAGGATGAAAGTTGTTCTGTGGATATTCAGTTTATGTGCCATTATCGTTTCACATACCAGAGCTGTGAATATGTATCCCATCTATCAAAATTTGTCATCCAAATCAATAAATAATAAAATAATGTTTCCATGTAGGCTTGAATATATGACACTTTTATTAGATATGACACACATGCCACCAAAACTCTCAAAAGGAGTTGCTCGGTATCTCCAGTAATATGAGATTAGCTGCACAAGCGGTGCCACTTCACTGTACACACTGAACTGCTGCATCTAGTCAGTGTTACTCCAAGTATAAACTAATGTGTCTCAGCCATTATCATAAAAACATGCATGCAGGTTTGTCTTCAGTCACAGTGACATGTCAAATTAAGGGTATCCCAGTAATTACAGCTACACACTGTCTTTTGCCTCAGCAGTAGTCAGCGAGCACACATGAGCAAACCAGCTAATCTAGTTATCTGTCTAACTGCAATTATCGCTGCAGAGCAGCACAGGTTTTGCCCACGTCCATGTTTGACACAAAATGTGGCTGTTTAAATAGGCACAACTATATCAGGAAGCAAGTCAGCCTTCCCGAAAGAATTAGTTATTATGACTAAAGGCAAAACTCAATGCTTGGGAGTGCACAAATTAGTGCAAGGGAATTGCAAAAGTTATTGCAAAGCAGCAAAAACGTATTGAGCAAGAAGACATTAGTCTAATACACATCCAGATGCTTTATGGATACGTTCATTATTTGTGTCTCCCTTTGTTTAATAACATATTCTCTATTCAATTGTACACTGAGGAACAGTTGCCGTATACACTTTACTGAATAATAATCCTCATTATTGTCTCTCACTTTGTCCTACTTACTATTAATTACTAATCATTTAGGAAATCAACTATATAACTTGATATGTTTAAAAAAAACATTAGTTAGAAATATTGATTATTGGTGTGAGCTAACAAAGTGAGATGCACTGGCAGAAAAGGTAAAGTGTTGTTAAATGGAGAGCTGTAATCTTGTGATAAGGTGTGCTGTGGGGCTTGAGATAAGAGTCCCTAGGACTGTTTTGGTGGCTCAATAAAGGAAGTGATATAAGACATTTAAGCTTTGATAAAGGAATTTGCATACTATTGAACTGCCACTGAAACATAACTTGATAATAAAGGTGTTTTTCAGGTAGATAACTGAATGTTGGGTGTTGGTGATGCCCTGGTTTTTCGAGGAAAGGAGGTGAGAGGCATTTGACATGTCTGAAAGCTGGGTGGAGGTTTATGGCAAGTTCAAAACATGGGAGGAGAAGGATGCTGGCGTCTCTGAAGAAAAAGGGAACAGAAGCTCTGACATGCCTGGGATGAGGGTGGAGGAATTTCTGACATTTTCTCAACTGGGGATAAAATAGAGCTCTTAACTCTGGTTAATACTGTTAAAATGTCTCAGGGACAGCTCCAAGAGACGACTGGCATGACTTTCAGATTAATATTTTGAACATAAGAGTTCAGTGAGGAAACCTATTCTGCCGTGACCAAGAATATTTATGTAAAGCATTTCAGCATGACATTTGTTATCAAAAATATGATTATATATTTTGTACATTTGCTTTTAGAATTCATATATATCACCTAAACTATGAAAGCAGAAGACAGAATGCTCAAATAAGTTTTTATTTTCCATTTCGATATTTAAACGATTTATGCTTAGAATGGATTCATGGTAATAAAACAATAGTTCAGACACTTTGAGGTGTGGAAAGATTGTGAACATTTTTTTTTTTATTGTAGATAGCGTATCTGTTGTAAAAAAAAAAAAAAAAAAACATTTTGCCCTAATTATGTCTAAAATCGGACTGCCTTGATGAGCTACTGGATTTTTTATTTATTTTTATTTTGCAGTTTTTTTATTGTATTTATTTTAAGTAAACCCTGTAGCTTCATGAGCTATTGGATGATCACAGCAAAATAAAGTTGCCTTAAAACAACTTAATTCTAAATGAATAAATAAACTGATTCATAATTCATTCATGGTTGTTTACATCAAAGTCTATGGTTAGTTACATTCCTAGTGCAACGTGCACTTCTGGCCATAACTGCATGACATTTCTGCTAGAATAAGCATGTAACCCAAAATGACAGTGATGTGAAAGGTTGTAAAAATGCATTCACTTAAACCAGTATGAGGTTTTTAGCTTGTCAATCTATTCAAATTTAAATGTTGTTTCTTGAACATAATGTCAATCAAAAGCTATTGTTTGTAACTTTTATTTTTATTTAAATCCACATCAAAATATATCCCTTTAATATTTTGTTCTCTTCATTTTAATTTGAATATAACATTTTACTCAATAATCCTCAATGCAGAAAAAAACAAAATAGCATTTAAAGAAATGCTGCCCTTTTATGCTGTACTTGTAGACAGATTTTCAGGCCCATGAGTGATAAAGAAAAACATTGTCTAGTTGAAAAACAAACTATAAGGTCTTAGGATAACAAAACTGAGGAGCAACACAAGGGCCATCATCAACAGCTGAAATAAAAGTCATGTAATCTTACTAAGAGCACAGAAAAAAGGATGATTACTGTTTTGAGAGTCTTGTTTTTCTACACATACATCAGAATCAATCTAAAAACTCAAAACTAATGACACTGAAGAACATAATATACTTTAAAGACATGAAAAAAGTACATAATCTACAAAGCAATTCTTCTTTTCACAATACTAAGAATTTCTGCAATTTTCCTTCAGTTGCTCTTTATAATACATTTACAATAACAACCACAGTTTATCTACTTTGTATGCATTCATTCTGCAGTATAGGAAGTGCTTATGCAATTATTTTCCTCAATCTCTACCTCTCCCATGTGTGTCCTGCTCTCACATTCTCCCTAGATGAATTCAAGTCGTTCCTGAAGAGGCTCCCCTCAACCCATTTCCTACCCATCAGCAGTGTTCATCTTCTGTGGGGCAGTGACTGGGACCTGCAGGCCCGCTACAGACTCCTTCAGAGCTCCCTAGAGATCCAGCGGCTCAAGATCCAGCGCACCGCCCGCAAGCTCTTTAGCCTCAGCATCCGTTGTCACCACAATCCCAGCCACCAGACATCTAGGGAGAGGTGGGTAGAAATATGGCCTTGATGTAGATTTGCTCAGCAACATGAATCAATAATTTAGTTGTTTTTTTTGTTTGTTTTTTAAACTTGAGATTTAGGTGAAAAAAGTCAAAATTTCAGACACTGTCATAAAAAAAAAAATCCTTCAACTTATTGGTGAGTTTATTTTAAATGTTGCTTTTTTGAATCATGAACAGTAAGCAGGTCATCTATAATAGATTTTAGCTTATGGCTGTGTTTTTACTTTACATCAAGTCAGCTTAGTGCTGAGGCTTGCACATGCCCAAAACACTATAGCTCACTCTTGTATTTTACTTAGGAGACGGAAAAGAAAATGTAGCTGTGGGAGTTTTCTTGTTAGGTCATTGCACATATCTCTCACCACCTACTGCAGTTGAAGCTTAAGAGCCTCGCTGTTGATGTGCCATCGTGTCAGCACTACAGGAAATGCCAAGAATGTCTCATATCTACTCCAGTAAATCAGAAAACACCATGCAAACTATGGCAAGATACCTGCTGCCACCATGAATGTCTAAAGTTATTCAGCGTAGGTGGCGTCACGATGTAAATGGAAGCAGAATTGGTTAAATATTAATTTAAGTGGTCTGAAAATCAACTATTGTCAACTGACCCAGACAGAAAATGGAGCACACCCACATTTGTCTGAGCGAGTTGGCTCGGGTATGTTCTGAAGTGTTATCAAAGAGCTGCAGTATGTGCTTCCTCGTCCATGGAGTAAACATCAAGAGTGCCTGATGGCACAGGAAATAAGAGCAGCATGTTTATTTGTTTGCTGGTGTGAAACAGCTTTGCATCAGATGGTGGATTTATTTGTTTTCATCAAGTATTTTGGGAAGGTCTTACAGAGCTATTGTTGTTCCGGGTGGCATTTATCTACTCCCTGTGTCCTATGGTCTTTATTTAGTGTTCCTACTGGATCAAACACGTTTATATATTATCTATTTATTTGGCTGAATTTGACTGTCCAGTGTTAAAAAAAAAAGTGCTGGACTGTACATTTACTTTATTATAACACGAGATTTTAACCTAAGCAGCAGCAATATTTTTATTTTTATGTATTTGTTTATTTATTTTATCACATGTACAGTATCTAATAAATTCAGCTCTTATAGCCATGCCACTTATTTAGTTAATGTGCCCCTCATGACCATTAGGGAACCATTGCCTTTTTTACACTGAAATCACATTTAGTATTTTCTTCATCTGAGCCAGATCTGCTAAGGGAATTAAAGATGAACTAAGCATCTTTAGTTTGCCAGTAAATTAAAAAGGAAAGCTAATGAAAATGTGGAAAATAATAACACTAATAATAACAAATGAAAGTCATCTTGTAGTGGCAAAATGACAAAAAAAGAAATTGATACACAGACGCCTTGTTCTTTTGGCTGCTCACAGGAGTTGCCAGAAAGTGCAAACTTGCATTAAAGATCTGATCATTGTTTTATATTGGATGCCCTTCCACATGTAACCTGGGCTCAAACCTGCAGCCGCATTATTAAGATTGCGGGGCTGACCGCTGAGCTATCACATCCCCTTCTAGTTTATACTGTAAATGTATCCTGTGCCAAAGACAATAGCACAGTCACCCACCTCTTACCATGCATTGTAGAGCACTTAGAGAGCTGCAGTGCAAATCCCCTTCAGTGAATTCTCTAGTGGTTTTGAGACCATCTTCCATCCTCTGTTGGGAGAATCCCCCCCCAGCTCTGAATACTGAAGCCCATGTGATTGCTTTGATCACAGATTACACTGCCAACATAACAGTCTTTAACAGCACACAGTCCTCTTGTCTGATCAACAAATGGGAAACTGTGTTGTTTTCCTCAGGGGAAATATTATGTATGGGATAGTTTGGGCTTGTATTTTCTTATATTCCTATTAGGTTATATATATATGTTTGTTCTACTCTGTCAGAAATAGGAAATAGAAGGAACCTAAAGGCACAGCCAAGCTTACCCAATCACCAAGAGCTCAATGATCCTGAGATAAGGAAAAAGATTTGGATATTACAGATAGGCGGCCAGCCCTCGGATTACAATAAAACTTTCAGTGTCTGAACTTCATGCAGTACATCAATATTAAAATATAAAAGGGATATTAGAACTTATTACTTTGCTAGAGCTCTGTGATCTCAAGTATTTGTTGCTATGTGAGCAGAAGCAAATTAGAAGTGAAAACAGACAAGACAAAGCTCTTGGGATGCTGTGTTGCCAAGGGAACATGCTTAAATGTATTCCTATGCTTTAGATATTCTGAATGTGAACTAATGAACAGCATATTCATAGCTCTGGTAAAACATTAAATAAAATAAAAAAATAGAAACACTGCAATATGTAGTTGGTCTTAATGCATCCATATAGAATGTTTGATTGAATTTAATTATTCTGACAAGCAGTCATAGCAAGGGGCTTCATTATTAAACTGGTAGCACAAAGCTTTCAGTTTAATCACAAAATGGATCCAGTATAATAAAACAGACATGTAGTTATTGTATTTATTAAAACACATGATGTGAATTTGTCAAGCAAAACTTTAAGATAATAATAGTAACTACAATAGCCACTTATGTGCTTTTTAAGGAAAGTTGGCCAATAAATATATTTAAAGCAACTAATAAAAGATGGGTACCAAAATCACGCCAGGTGCTTTATTTAAAACTTCATAACGCTTAACAACATTGCCCTTGTTCTGGGTTTACCTCTCCACTGGGCACCCATGCATTACAAGCACCATAAATTCCTGTGGTAAACACTCACAGTGGAACCCTAAATAGATTTGCCAGTGCATTTTCTTTATTAGTATAGCAGCTTCCTTCAGGTACAATGAACTTAAGAGTCTTCATGTAAATGATTAATGGTGACAGATATGGAGTTGCATTATTCCCAGCCAAATCATTTGCATCCAGTTTATGCACTAGCTTTAATTATTCATGTTCAGAGTCAAACCTGTTTAATGGTGCGTGACCTTAGCATCTATACAGTCATAGGGAGACAATTCCCATTTACCTTGGCACACACATTAAAGTAAACATTTTACTTTGTCTATTTTTTCTTACCTATATATTTGTTAAATTGTTGTATTTATTGTTTTTGTGTGTGCTTGACTATAAATTTGCTCAGGTCTGTTTTATTGTGCAAAATAGAAGCAACAGCTAAAAAAAAAAACTATTAAAAATATTAAACTTAAATTTCAATTTACTAAACTGAGGGAACCCAGTTGAAATTATACCATTTCTGCATTGACTGTGACTTTCTCATTAAGTGCCATATGTATTAATTTACTTATTGTTGTATGTAAAAACAAGTGAACTTAAACTTGTTCAAATTTCAAGATGATTTACAACAGACAGCAAAACTACACAAGTGTCTGAAAATGTTCTGGCACTGCTGTTTAGGATGCTTGATTGGTGAAAAGTGCAGGGTCATTAATGATATTAATAATAGACAAGTTCACCAATATGTCAAGCTAACCTTGGCCAGACTTTGTCTCTGAAAACATAGGGAGTATAAATCACCTTCTGTAGTCAGAAAATATGTTACAGAACTGGCAAGATGACAAGACAACATGCCCGAGGGGAAAACAATCAAAATCAAGATGAGAATAACAATTAATGCTTCCCACCAACTTGGACGCTATTTTGTAAAATTTGCTGACTTGATACTCTCGTTTATAATAACGTCATCCATTTACAAGGAATCAAATTTTGAATTGATTCAAAATTCGGCTCACTGTTAATAAATCTGTTCCATTATCCATCTTCTTTCTTTCCAGATCTGTCATGCAGTGGCTCAACAGGGTTCAGTCTTTCCTGTACTGCAACGAGAATGGATTTTGGGGCACCTTTCTGGAAAGCCAAAGGACATGCGTGTGCCACACAGGCGTCACTCTGTGCCAGCGACCCATTCCATGTGTCATAGGTGGCAACAACAGCTGTGCCATGTGCAGCCTGGCCAACATCTCACAGTGTGGCTCCTGTAACAAGGGCTACAAGTTGTACCGTGGTCGTTGTGAGCCCCAGAATGTGGACTCAGAACGTAGCGAGCAGTTTATTAGCTTTGAAACCGATTTGGACTTTCAGGACTTGGAGCTGAAGTACTTATTAGAGAACATGGATTCACGATTGTACATTCACACCACTTTCATTAGTAATGAAATCCGACTGGAGACATTCTTTGACCCACGATGGCGCAAGCGCATGTCTCTGACTCTGAAAAGTAATAAAAACCGGATGGACTACCTCCACATGATAATCGGCCTGTCGATGAAGATCTGTCAGATGCGAAATAGCAGTATTGATCCTATGTTTTTTGTTTATGTCAACCCATTCAGCGGCAGCCATTCCGAAGGCTGGAGCATGCCCTTTGGTGAACATGGATATCCGCGTTGGAAAAAAGTACGACTTCAAAACTCCCAGTGCTTCAACTGGACTCTGCTGTTGGGCAACAGGTGGAAGACCTTCTTTGAGACGGTGCACATTTACCTGCGCAGTCGTGCTAAGATTCCAACCGGCCTCCGCAATGATACAGGACAGGGTCCGGTGGATCTTGCAGACCCTAACAAGCGGCAGATCTACATAAAAATCTCTGACATCCAGGTGTTTGGTTACAGCCTGCGCTTTAATGCTGACCTGCTGCGTAGTGCCGTTCAGCAGGTTAACCAGTCGTACACACAAGGAACCCAGTTCTACTCATCCTCATCTGTTATGCTCCTGCTACTGGACATTAGGGATCGGATTAACCGTTTAGCACCACCTTCTGCACCTGGCAAACCCCAGCTGGACCTTTTCTCTTGTATGTTAAAGCATAGGCTGAAGCTCAACAATAGCGAGATGATTCGAGTGAACCATGCGCTGGACATGTACAGCACAGAGATACTAAAACAATCAGATCACCTGACTGCTAAACTCTGTTGAGCATACGATTAACACAAGGACAAGAGATTTAAGAGAAACATCCAACAAACTGAGGGAATGTTAATTTGTATTTGTTTTACCCTTTTCGTTTTTTTTTTTTGGACCTTTTCTGCCTTTTGATGTAACATTAACTTTGTAAGTATAATTCTTAAAAAAAATAAATAAATAAAGAGCAAACAGCATTGATGAAAAGCTGTTGTGGCAGATAAAGATGAGCGGAAACATTACAAGAACTGTATCATATGTGTCCCAGCATGTCTGTAATTCCCTTAAAGAACTTAAAAGAGAGAGTGGAAAAAAAAAATATATATATATTAAATCTGTGTACTGGTGAACAGGAGGCCTTGATTATTATTTAAGGGATCAAAGGTTATTATATCTGAAACTGCCATTCTTTATCAAGGAAAAAAAAAAGAAAAAGACATTTTTAAAGGAACAATGAAAAATATAAGGGCAGACCAGATATTTTAATTCACTGAACGTGAAGAATATTTCGACATTATGACAGTTTAGTATTAAAATGTTTATACATTGTAAGGAATAGCTAGGACTAGTGAATAAGTAGTCACTACATTACTTATAAACTCTTTATTATGTTTCAGACCCACAGTTAATCTGCATTGCTCTCTGTGAGTAATTCTGCACTCTGTCATTGTTCTGACACATAAGGCACACAGCAGGGCAGTAATGGATATTCATGTCAAACAACAAAAGCCAGCTGTTTATATACACATAAATGTGAATGAATGTATAAGTGTGAGAGGGCATGTCTGTTTTTCATTTTCTTTCTTTTTTTCCAATTCGGCTTAATGCTTAGTGCTGTTTGTTCATTGAATGTGTCACTTGAGATTGATCCCTGTCTTTGCTAAAGTTTGCATTTGGTGTGTTTTTCCCCTGTGTTTGAAATGCCAGCTGTTTCTTTATTTCGTCTATTTTTTTTTCTTTCACAAGGCAGTACCTCCTGGTGCGTGAATGCAATGTAGTGGTCTGAAGATTTACCAATCAATGCTATTTTGTACAGCTTTGCAAAATGTACACGTTGTGACTGCTGATTTGTGGAGCTTTTAAGCACCAAGAGCAAAGTGTAAAGCATTCATCGTTCAGGCACATTTGCAAGACAACTTAAAGCCATACACTTCTCTGAGGTATAGACATACAGTAACCCATAAAGTTCATTCCGACTTGTTCCATTCATATGCCTTTGTTTCATTCTCTCAAATGATTTCAGATAAGAGCACAGCAAAAAAAAAAGAAAGAAAGATGAGAAGGGAACACATACTGTATTATCTTGACCAAGGTTGTGTTGTAAAGCCATTGAATTTGTATTTTGTGCTGCAGGAACAGAAAAAGAAGACAAAGAAGAAAAATCTTATATTAAAGCTTATAATACCTTTTTGGCAGTGTTATCGTGTAAGCTTTAGATGACCATGTGTAAAAAAAATATTTTATTTTGCAATATAAACTTTAACATTCTCTGCATGTTGCTGAAGAGCATAAAAGGAGCTGCAACCTTGTTTAACACTCAAAGTCATCAAAATGAAACATGAAACACTACCTATGTATAAATGGTCACACTTTATTTGGGTAATCCAATACTGAAATGTGTTTAGTCTTATTGGCTTCAATGCAGGTTTTGTCAGCTACTTTTATATTGGAAAAAAAAAGCAAAAAAAAAAAAAAAGCTTGTGAACTTGTTCAGCATGTTTATTGCAAACATTCATCGTGAAAAAAATGCTACATTTTCTGTCACTGGAACTAAAATATATGATTTTTTTTCTCTCCTAGATAATAGCTGTTGGCTTTTATATTATAGTTAAAGAACCAACATTTTTAAATAAATTTGGGGTTGCTCAATAGCTGAAAAAAAAGGGGCCCATTCAATTTAGGAATCTGCAGACTAGGACAACACAAGCTCAGCTCTGTGCCATTTATTTCAATGTATGCAGATTTGCTGTTGTCAGCACTGTCATTCAAAATTATCCATTGCAACTTCAACTGCAAACGTTAGCATTAGCATCATATAAATTGCATGGTAATGCTATGTTTTATTTGACATACAGTATATTTTTGCCTGTACTAGCTTTGCTGAGCATACTAGCACAATTACACTTACATGGAATAAAGTTTATTGAGTGTGAATCATTGAACATTCGTCCTCAGTTGTTGCCAATTGATTATGCGATGAAAGACGTGAATAGAACTAACGCAAAGCACTGACAGTATATGTGTTGTTTGGTGTTTATGCATGTTAAGTGGTTGTCTTTTGTGTACATATGAAGTCAGACGTGCCAACCTTTCAAACTGCTGTAACTAGTGTGACAATCGGAAACAAATGGCATATTTGACATTTCCTTGAGGGATACAACCTGCTGTTTATGGTTAAAACATTTTCACTAAACATGCACTTGCTATGCAAGTAAATTTGGATTCTACGTGTTGTACTTTGTGAAATATTTGATGTTTCCATAACAAGACAGAGTTGAGCTGACGAAACAGAATGCTTAAATGGCCTCTAAATGACCAGAGATGTTAATATTTGTTAGGTAATTTCCCAGAGCGTCAAGTATCAGTATTGGATTATCCAAATTAATTGTTACAAAATTATTATTATTATTATTATTATTATTATTATTAAGTGCCTGTTATCAATCCCTTTAACCTGTTCAGAGTAAAAAAAAAAGGAAAACAACTGAAATTTTACAGAGTAATGACTTTAAATAGTTCCAGGATATAAGACCCTACCTGATAATCTAATGTATTTTCTGTCCCCTACTGTACATTACACCTTGAAGAGGCTTGCGCATGAGGGGAAACTGGACCACCAGTCAAAGACAACAGATATTGAATTAACGATGGATACATTTTTTTCACTTCCCGTTGTACAATATGTGTGTAAATATGAGCTCTACTGCAGTACCAATGCTGTGCTAACGTAACACTATCATAAACTATCAGTATTCAAAGGGAATTTCAAAAAGCCCTCCAAAAAACATTAGCACAAAATACTGGGCACTCATGTTTTATGTACTGATATTGGTTCATGACCATCTCTGACTGTTTTTATATTGATGTATATTGCAATTTAGTTTTGAGCCACTTGAAAGGTCCATAAAACAAGCACATTTACTCGTATGGCATTATGCTTTCACGGTGTTGCTTGCTGTACATGTATTCATAAATTTGTCTGAGCGTTTTTACACCTAATACCTTGCCTATGTAATCTTTTTTGCTTTTCTGTTGAGATTATTATATCAGCTAATTTTAAATGAATGTTTCATATAATAATCTATTTCTCATTAAAATGTTATATTTAATAAGAAGAGCAAGGTGTGTTTGTACAATTTCCATTTACAAAAAGCAACTTATTTTTAGTGCTGAACAAAGCAGCAGCATATTTCTTACATTAAGTCAATGATTTTTTTTTAAGTACGAGTCCGTTTTGCTGCCAGAACTGCTCATAGCAGTAAGAGCTTCGACAAAGAACATCTATGGATGTCGTAGAGCGTCTTTTACTAGAAGAATACCAACAAATCCCGTGGGCCCTGTAATGCCTGAATTAGGCTAGTTTCCAACAAATGCCATCAGACTCTATCAGATTTATATTCTGGGGGATTTGGATGGTAAGTAAATAACATCAGTGCTTTTGTCATGCTTACTGAACTCTTTAAAAACATTTTTTATTCAAACATTAATACTTAAACCATACTTAAAACTTTTGTGGTGAAGCCTAAAGAGTAAAAAAAAAAATGTTAAAAACAAAAACAATATATACAGGCTCTGTTTTAACCAAAATGACTATTTTTTTTTTTAATTGAATATTGTTTGTCATTACCTTTTATAATGTTGTCAGACTACTTTACATCAACTAAACAGTCTGTATACTCCTTAGGGTCACTAATGCTGCTGCAACATTTATAATCAGAATAATGTGTCATAATCAGAGGGAAAAGAAAAGTAACACATTGGTCATTGCATTGAATTCACACAAGAACTGGTTGCTACTTAAACTTCTACTGTAGTACTGAATATCTAATAGTGGTTGATATTTTATTAACCTTTATTTAACCAGGCAAATCCCACTGAGATCACAGATCGCTTTTGCAAGGGAGGCCTGGGCCTGAAGCAGAAAACATGCATGTTTTTTGTGTGTTTGTTTGATATGTCTTACATTAATGACGAAGATGCTTTGTGGTGCAGTGTTTTGTCGTTTTACACTTTGGCCCTACAAGTGGGCATTCCCAACAGTCCTTTTGTTTCTTCCACTCCTGACACCATGCTTACATGCCAGCACGTAGGTAGTTATTACCTTGTATCATGACTTTACACATACTACAGATGCCAGAGGTTTTCTTGTACTGGCCTACAATTCAGTATGGACAATTTACTTCTATCAACATTCTACTAAAGCCCACCATATACAAAGCCAAGGACCCATAATTTGGCAAAACATCTGAAGCAGAGAAGTGTATAGTAAGGGAGGTTAAAGTGAGGATGCACTTGAGCACCTTCAGGGAGATCTTTTTGACATCTGTAACATGTTATATGGGTGCAGCAAGTTGTTAAAGACACCAATAGTCATTTGACATAAATAATGAAATACAACAGTAGACTGTAAACAATCAATGGTTAGATAAGTGTGTTGATGTCAGTCCCAAAGTAAAGATGGATCATTTTCTTAAATGCTGCCAACTTTGTTTCTTTTCCTCTTGGGTGTTTCTCACCTCCTCTGGTCACATATGTTTTGTGAGGAAAATAAAATATTTAAAGACGCATATCCAAGATTTGAAAATTGGCTATTAGAGTATCTGGTTTGTCTCCCTCTTTGGAGCAGCAAAGCAGGCTTTTATTTTACAGATGAACTAGATAAGTTGCATGCATTAGAAAGGTAAGGCGGGGTTAATTTGCACACATATAGTCCCCGTTAGTAATTGAGTTTTATGTGTGGAGATATATCTAAGCTATTTAGACCATAAAGGGATTATTTTTTATATGGAATAAAAACTCTAAATATGTATCATTAATGAACAGAGATTACTGTTAGGGGCTGAATCCATGCCTGGAGAAAGAAATTAAGCTTAACTCTTTAAGTATTCTCTTTTTTTCCTTTCCCAACTCTCTTCAGTTTTTATGCATGCAGCTCCACCTATTTTAAGTCCTGCGATTACTCCTTTGTAAGCTATCCAAATGATGTTTATTTAACTCACAAGAAACATGTAACATATTATTACCTATACATTTAAACATACAGTGGCTGTCATGCATAAAAGATACCTTAAGTGTAAAGGGTCATTTACAGACCTTAATGCTTTACCTGGTCTTCAGAATGTTTTTGAACTAATTTCCTGAGGTTAGAGTAAAATTGTTTTTAAATGAAAACATTCCCCAACTTCTAAATTGAGCACACAGCAATGTCTAATCTGCATTAGCACAGCCTTGGCTACACCTCGCGTCCCAAATCAGCCCAAGCAGGCATTTCAGATCCTAGTTAATTACCAAACAGCAGTCAGAAAAAGTAAACTTGTGCCTCAGGAAAGCTGCAAAAAGACAGCGCTCATAAAGTGCTGTCCTTGCATCAGTCCTGTGTGTGAGATGTGATTAAAACTCCAGAACATTTTACATCATTTTATATTGGCAAGCAGGAATCCCTTGGGAATTGGAAAACCAGCTAGGACAGAAATACATTTGACTAAACAAATGTCTTGGTGTAAAAAGTAACATACTTTAAGTGTATTCATTAGAAATGTATTATTTTTCAGAATGCTTAAAATATATATAATTTCAATATAAAAACCTAACAAATTATATGCTGCATTTATTCAAGAGATCATAATGTAAACGTTGCTATAATAATTATTTGTTTATTTGCCAAACAGTTTTCAGATAAGGCAAATTATGTATGAATGTAAATTTTGACTTTAGTAAAGCTGTTTACGTCATCCCACAGCATAATTCAAATTAAAGCATTCTGAAATGTTGTTGTTTTAACATGAATAAAATCACCATTTAACACGCTGTTACATTAAGTTAGTCTGGTAAATTTAAACAAAAGGCAAAACAAAGGCATCGATACAGATATAAAATTAATTTCCCTTTGTTTCTCGTAAAAAAATAAATTAAGTGTTTCATTTAAGTTAAGAACAAAAAAAAAAAAAAGGAACATGTTTTTTTTTTTTTTTAACGACAACCACAAACGTAATCAACAATATAATCATCAAAAATAATGGAGGTTTTAATGCTTGTTTTAAAAAAAA